TACTTATCAAATACAAATGGCGGATCCAACCCTCAAGGTCAACGGAACGCTGAAGGATTTACTAAAGAAAATGCATAATAACGGGGCAATCGATAAATGGATGATGAACCCTTTAATCAAAAATGGCGCAAGACCACCGACAGCCCACGGACTACTGAAGATACACAAGGAACGAAAACTGATAAGATTAAGAGTCAGCAACAAGCATGGAGAAATACACAAACTAGCGTAATTCAAATGCTTGAAGCCCAAGAAATTATATGACAGTCTCTTGAATACCATGACGAATTCATATGAATTATCACAAAGGATCCAAACTATAGGGCTGGTGGGGACGGAACTATTGGTAAGTTTTGACGTATAATCCATGCTTACCAAGCTTACCTTAGCCTACCAACATCTAAGGCGAGTAGACAATAAGCGCTCTGATGGAGATCTTGGAACGGAAAAAGGATATCCTGGAAGGAGAGTGGATACTAAAGGAGTCGTTAACATGACTGATCAAACTGACATTAAAGATGATCTATTTTACTTTTAACGGCAATATTTATGAGCAAATATTTGGGCTGATCATGGGATCTCCACTTACACTTTTTTTGGCCAATGTATACATGGATAGATTAGAGAAGGAATTCGAGAAGTCCCCGCTGCAACCAAGAGTGCTAATGCGATATCTGGACGACTACTTTGCACTTTGGTCGCTTGGTAAGGATAATTTGGATGAATTCCCCTATTTTATATGCTAACTTGATGAAAGAATTAAATTTACAAGTGAGGTGGAGGGGGATACAGGACTATCCGTCCTGGATATCGAGGCCATCCGCTCCAACGGGATACTCTAGAGGAAATCCCATCCGGGAATAATTCTCAATTCAGACTTGGCATTAAGAGAGATGCGTCGGAGACCATCGCTAGTTGGCCTCCGATAGTAGTAGATAAGTTTGATCATTGACGTGGTTCATGAAGTAAAGGGTTGACCACGAGATTTACTCGGTGTACAGGCCGCACAACGATAAGGGAATCTGAGCGTCAAGTTAGGTTGCGATGCTACTTTGGAGGCTTGCTCAATGAGGCTGAAGGATACGAGCTATGAAAAGCTTAAGGCAGAATGTAGAGTATGAAGCCTCGAGTTGACCGGATATGGTGGAAGTGATCGCGTGAAATCACTGGATCAGGGAGATAGGAGACGGATCATAAGGAGCAAGGGATGACTCTGATAGGACTGGAGCAAGAGGATTTTGGAATAAACTGCAGCATTGGATCCACGCTTCTAGCATAAGGGGGAGCTAACTAAATTTAATTAAAAATGCTTAGTTTTCTATTTTTGATGGTTATTAAAGCTTTTTGGCTCAAACTTTCATAACAAAGTATTGGATCGCTTGCGAATCTAACTCTTTTAGCAGGCCAGCAATATCCAATAATTCCTGAAAATGATCCAGCATCGAGGCTTCCACTAATTGCTTCAATGACACCCTATCTTCTCACCTTTCATCCAACACACGCATGACTTTAGTCACGATAGCCGTCCGTCCTTCCTCGTCACTCGCTCGAAGGCGCCCTACTACCTTGGCCGACAATACCATCTTCAGTTCGGACAAAGTCTTAACCGGCCATTCTCCTCCTCCCCCCATTCGAAGGATTCAGTTACGAAATCTGACAACCAGTGATGAGACAATTGAGCTACCAAAAGATTTGGTGAATCAGGATTTTTCTGATAAAAGGCATAAATTTGGCAGAGCTTTTCCTCATATTGTTGCCAACACCAAATCAAACGACAACTGCGACCCATTCCAAACCACAATTACCGAAGATAGATCGGGCGGTTCGGTAACCGTATTTAAATCAGTTGGCTTTTCGGGCCAGCACTCTGAACCGGGGCCTACTCCACAGCCAAAGAATAGTTACTCTAAATACCATGACAGCAGGATAGATGACTATCATAGCCTACAGCGGCACCATAGCAACCAGCAATATGATCAACGAACTTTGCAGAATCAACAGCAACAGCAAACGCAGAGGCCAGGCGGGCGAGGTATTCCCATTATTATAAATAAAAATATATTCACTAGAATTTCTTGATGTGGAGTCCTCCTGTAGGGATGGTTTGTCTAATGCTGGCAATAAAAATAAGCTTAAGTATATTTCTTAATAATCCCGAGGGTAATGATGCTAATAGCTGTTCCGATACACATCTTGAAAGCCTCGGAAAGCTGATTTATTAGCACAAAGGAGTCATAATTAGCCATAATTTCGGTGCCTATACTTAATAATGAGTGACTCAAGTAAAAAGTTGTTTATTAGTTGTGCTGCTTAGCTGATTGAGCATTTGGCTCGAAGACTATACAAAAGCAATAAATACTCATAGAAACTTCTGGAATATTAGGGTCCAACGAGGTCTCCTAGATGTTAATAATGCCTATGACATTCTTTTGCGAAAGTGTTATATAAAGAATTCACTGATTTTTATGGTAGGAAACTCCAAAAGTACTTTTCCTTACATTCTAAAGACAATTTTTAAGTTACTTTGTATCCTAAGCATGACACTCAAGGCAAGTTCTAAGCCCTAATTGATACGTAAACTTAAAACTCCAGCGATAATGCATAACATAGTGCATAGCGAGCAAAAGACATTCTCAAAGTCAATTTAGCAATATTATGAATCTCTTGATTAAACATCTCATTAATTCTTTATTCTGATCTAATTCACTTTATTACTATTTACCTTTGCCTCACCCTTGATGTTGTTCTAACTTAAGCACTCTTTTCACCTTGGAGGCTTCTATCATCTCCTCCTACGAGATCCTATAAATCGCATCTTGGAAACTGCAGTGATCCTTCGCCAAAATCATACACAACTAATGGCCATCTTAGCAAACGACTAACGCCTTGCATCCCGACATCAGCTTCACAACCAATCGAGTCTACGAGAAACAAGACCAATAAAATGGGTCATCCAACCAAACCACCTTGTCCGGAGTACTTAAATAGAAAAACTCATCCCCATTCTTCTCCTACCACCCAATACCCTCAACTCATAGACAAAAATGATCCTCCATCTCACAAAAGCCCAAAGCTTGATCGCAATGACATGATCAGTCTGCCACTGGGTCACTGCGAACAACGACTGGCCGCATCCTCCCAAACGGCTTCTACATTACAGATCCGGTTGTCCCAAATGACGCAGGCTTCTCCCATTGGATCTTCATTCGAGCAAAAGGTGTTACCAAAGCGGTCACCGTCACCGCCTTCGCTTGTTCCAGTGTCAAAAGAGGGCCAGACGACTGTGGAGTCATCAATATTCCCTTTGGCCAGCCAGCGGCATTTGAATGTGTCAAAGGGTAGCAGCGATGTTGGTCTACATCACCTTGTTGTCGCTGACATTGTTGACATAAAGGAGGGAGCTCTAGGGAAACAACAAAAGGTATGACGTCGAAATCAGGCTTTTTTTGTGGAGGGCGTATTTTCGCATCACATTTTCAGAGTTGGTTATCGGACACCAATCAAACATCTTTCTCTTCAAAAGCTCGTTGCCAAGGCCTTAGCTTTACATGACAAAACTATTCACTTTTGTATCGCAAAAGGTAGCGCCTAGTTTCCATATGTGAAAAATAATGACAAATTACGACTAGCATGTAGGTTATACGTTTTATACCAATCAATCGAATTATGAGGCGAGAATGTCTCGTCGTGGAAACACATGGTTTTCATTCGAGTTTATTCTTTTGCGTTGCTACGACCATTCTAGATAGGAAACCACTATAGAAATAAATAATAATAATAAATGACTTGACAAAAATAAGTCCCAGCTTAGACTTTATATGATAGCCACGTATGGCTTTGGCACTGTTTTACTTTCAGGAATCAGGTTCTTCTTAGGAAAATAATAATTAGATAGAGATATGGTTATTATGGATTGGTTAGTATGCATCAGTTAGAGTAGAAGATGGCCCTTGGCAGGCTTCCAGATTCCTCTAGGAAGTCAATATGTGTGCATTAGCCAATGATGCTGGAGAGAATCGGAGGTGAGCCTAGACAAACCAGCTAGGGATTTGTTCAAAGAGTATAACGGTAAAATAATTCTTTTTATACATTTAAGGCAATCCTTGATTAAGAAGATTCCATCAGAAATTAGTTCACTGTCACTGCCGCACAGGAATGCCAGTTCGTCATAAACGCAATTCATCCATAGGCAAAGGAGCTATACAGATGCGACCATCAGCATTGTGAAAGGGTACACGAAGCTGATGGGTTAGTTTGCTTATAGATCAGATACTCTAGTCAAGATATGTGTGCTGCCTGTAGCATTCGTGTATGCTACCTTTAAAGAACTGCCATACATTTATTTATATTGACTCAAGAAAAAGTATCAGACCGGCTCCCTTTTCGGCAGAGGTAGGGCCGCCCAGTGAGTTGGATAACGAAGATTCCCGTGTTAGGCTGGGTACTTAGAGCACACACCCACAAATTAGCACTTGTTTTCCTGAACTTGTATCTACTTTTATTACTCTAATAACTAATGAAAATCAGTCGCCAAGTGATCTCATTTAAGGAGAAACTGGTGCAACACAAAAAATAACGTTCATTTCTTCTTATGATCTCAACAGGAAAGCTCCAGTTAAGTAGTATGATAAGGTTTACAAATACTTGGAGAGTATAACAGAAAAAACCATCATGAGCAAAGGCTCATCAGTCATGGAGATGTAAATTCCAGAGTTTACTCCGAGTCTGCTTAATGGGATCTTTTTTCGAACTCGTGGTTTCGGAATAATGAGTGAGATCGACGCATTAACGCTTTGATATTAGAGTGCCTTAATCATTTTTGAAGAGACAAGTAAAAGAGATTCGTAAGTTGGCATCACTGGAAGCTTAGGAGGATTGTCTTGGAGCTGTGACTGTAGATTTGTGTGGATAGGCCCTCGGCGCACAGCCCTGAGACCTTGAGGAATCTATACAGGGCGGTTGTCACATAGTCTAAAAGTCATCAGGAGCTGAAAATTTTAAAAACATAAGAAAATGTTTTCCATGTGACAAATCTGAAGCCATGTCTCCTGTAAATGCTGGATAATCAATGAACTTTTATGCAAAAACCTCCTTTCTTATTTAAATTCTCAAAAAAATAGAGAGCATAGAGAGCATAGCGAGTACTGTAACTACTTTGCAAATGGGCAGAGGCGGATGGTGCACACTAGCATTTACGAGGATATTGCAGTTTACGGGTGAAAGGAAATTAATCGGACACGATTGGCTCTATTATTGCAATGGAGTTTTCTTTACTCATCAGTAAAATACCCCTGTAAATGCCCACAACCTTCGTGAAATATTATTCTTGCTATTTTATTACCGCCTACAGACCTCTCTAAACCATGATTTATCTTTTCTACTTAATTTGAGATGCACATCGCCTCCATTAAATGCAACATGCTTTATCTCTCTTTAAACTTTCCCTTATATCTATATATCTATCGCTAAGACGAATGTGGAAAAAACACACCTGTTGGCTACTTCCTCTCCAACTACTTCGTCTCCTAATTTTTCTTCGCTTTATCGTCATCATTCTCCGCTGGAATCGCCACCAATCTCCTCCTCTAGTTCTTCCTTATTTGGCACCATGATTCAATCCAATTCTCCACAAAGCTCAACTCCAGCCTCGGCTCCACATATCCTGCCATCTAAATCAACTGCGGTTACACCACATTTCGACAGACATACGCAAATGGGTTCCCCACGTAGGGCCAGCCTTACATCAACTGCCCCCGCCTTCGCGACCCCCCTCAGCAGTGGCATCTTGAATCTTTTCTGTCCAAGTCTGACCTCGGAAGCCGATTCAGGGGCATTACGGCTTCCAGACTCCGTGAATGGCTCGATCCTTCAACTCAATAACAACACAGAGGCTGCCGTTAGAACCGCAGCCTGCACTCAAGGCAGTGTTGAAGGCTGTGGAGCAGGCTTAGGAGCAGAATTTGGTTTAGTTGAGCACTTGAGACATGTCAAAGTACGATTCGGTCAGAGTGTGCCTGATCTGACAAAAGTCCCTCGACGAAGTGCCCTCAAGGGAAGTCGAGAGGCAAGGTAAAAAAGCATTTTGATAGCTAGATTACGATTTAGTAATTTAAATGTTGAAATTATTAGGGCATCCCAATTATTTACATTTTATAAGTTGTCTTTTAAGACTATCTGTAAATCATAATAATGAAATGTAGCCAGCCTATTCGTTTAAGGTGCTGAATAAAAGTTCTGTGAATTTTTCCACAACGATATAAGCAAGATATGAAGACCAAGATATTGTGGCCTCTGGTATATTCGCAGTCTCCTTTCGATTTATAAAAGTGGGTTGACCTCGTTGTCGCAACTTGGTCTTGTTGTCAGGGCG